ATCTCGTCTCCAAAAGCAAACTGCGGGGTTTAGCGTGGGCGGACGCGGCTTCCCTTTCCTAGGCAGCGGCAGCGGCAGCGGTGAAACGTAAACGTGGGAGCGCTCCTACGCCGTAATCATGCCAGACTCACGCACCTCCTCCTCCTCCACCCCTCCCCAGACCTCGTCCAAGACACGCCTCTCCCAGATCTCCTCCCACATCGAACCCATGGCTGCCACCGCTTTCGACGCGAATGTCGTCCCCCAGGCGCCCGAAGACCCGCTCTTCGGCCTCATGGCTGCCTTCCGTCGCGACGAGGACCCCAACAAGGTTGACCTGGGCATTGGCGCCTACCGCGACGACAATGCAAAGCCCTGGATTCTGCCCGTCGTCAAGAAGGTACGCCATCGCGCCTTCCTCGTGTCCACACAACACAGGCTAACACTACACGTCCACAGGCCGACGACAGACTGCGCGACGACCCCAACCTCAACCACGAGTACCTCCCCATCGCCGGTCTCGCCGAGTTCACAACCGCCTCCCAGAAGCTCGTGCTCGGTGGTGACAGCCCCGCCATCAAGGAGAAGCGGGTGAGGACGCCCCTCCATCACGTCATGACTTGAGCTCACACCACACAGGTCACCAGCTTGCAGACTATCTCTGGCACCGGCGCCGTCCACTTGGGCGCCCTCTTCCTCGCCAAGTTCTACAAGACCCAGAGCCAGCGGACCGCCTACTTCTCCGACCCGACATGGGCCAACCACTTCCAGATCTTCTCCAACGTCGGCCTCGAATACAAGACATACCCCTACTTCTCCAAGAAGACCAAGGGCCTCGACTTCGATGGCATGATCGGTGCCCTGCAAGATGCGGCAGAGGGCAGCATCATCGTACTGCACGCGTGTGCTCACAACCCCACCGGTGTCGACGCTACACAAGAGCAGTGGAAGAAGATTGCCGAGGTGATCAAGTCAAAGAAGCACTTCCCTTTCTTCGACACCGCATACCAGGGCTTTGCTTCCGGTGACCTTGCAACTGACGGCTGGGCGATCCGCTACTTTGTCGAGCAGGGCTTCGAGCTCTGCATTGCCCAGTCCTACGCAAAGAACTTTGGTCTGTACGGCGAGCGAGCAGGCTGCTTCCACTTCGTCACCTCGCCCTCATCCGATGCCGAGTCCACCATCAAGCGCATCGCCTCACAGCTCGCCATCCTCCAGCGCTCCGAGATCTCGAATCCTCCTGCCTACGGTGCCCGCATCGCCTCGACCGTCCTCAACGACCCCCAGCTCTTCGCTGAATGGGAAGACAACCTCCGCACAATGTCTGGTCGTATAAAGGAGATGCGCAAGGCGCTTCGTAGCAAGCTCGAGGACATGGGCACACCCGGCACATGGAACCACATCACAGAGCAGATTGGCATGTTCAGCTTCACCGGCTTGACAGAGCAGCAGGTTCTGAAGATCCGGGAAGACTCCCATGTGTACATGACCAAGAACGGTCGTATCTCCATGGCTGGCCTGAACACACACAACGTCGACTACTTTGCGAAGGCTGTCGACAAGGTTGTGAGGGAGACACAGTAGGGTGGAGGCATAGCACCTTGTAGAGGTTTTCAGGAGTCTTGCTAGCCACGACTGGCCGAAGCTCTAATGTGTTACGATTATACGAGACGGCGACCAAGCCGTACTGTTGGGATGGAGAATCTATCATAGACCAGTCCTCCCCTCATCTAGACTATTAAAGTCCGCTATTGAACATCCGGATGTGATGCCATTTCCCCCCTCTGGTCTAACACTTAAAAGACTGTACAAATACATCGCTTCGGCAGACACAACGAATAAAGGGTCTCTGGACAGTCACATTCATGAGACTCGGTGTGGCATACATGATAGCAGACAAAAGAATGATATGTTCAAATCAACACATAGGGTATACAGCTCCAGCGGTCCACCTGACGACAAAGGAATAAACACCCATACAAGCAGTGAGACGAACAGTAGCCGTCCGGCACATCTTCAATTTTCTCATCATACGCACCATAGTCATCATTATCGCAAACCAATGCGTCTATTTAACCCCTTTGCTATGCGTAAACCTCGCAATACTGCCAATACTCCAGCTTTTCCCCTTTCTCTCCTTTTCCCGACGCTTCTTCTCCTCACGTTCCCGTACCTCGTCACTCGATTCCAGGAGACTGTCTCCACTGAGCCGCTTCAACATGTCGAGAGTCGAAGACGTTTTGCGCAGACGGCTCTTTTTCGGGGGTGGCGGCGGGACAAGATCGTCGAAAGTTGGAGTGCGCCATTGTAGGACGTTCGTGTCTATGGGTAGAGGCGGGAGAGGGGCATTGTTTCGCTGTATCGTAACGAACCTATCCTCCATGGGTGGGAGAAGCATGGAAGATGCGACGGGCGATAGTATGTGTTCTTCTATGTCATCGCTGTTGTTGCTACCGTAGCTCCATGACGACTCATTCGTTCCTTGGATGGGCAAGCTTATCGCGCTACTGCTGTTTGACGAGTAAGCCGAGTACTGGTATGGGTGCGGTAGTGGTGCTGAATGAGGTGGTTCATAGTCGTCGGGTCTAGGCTCAGGTCTACTCGCGTCCACAAGGAGGGAATCTGATTGCGCACGCTCTTTGGGTAGAAAGGGATTGTCTCGGAAAGCCGGGTGGTCAGACAGTGCTGGTGGCGGATATGTTGGTGCTCTCCACACTGACATTGGTGGCCTGGGTTGTCGCTGAACGTGTTGGGATGACCTGGCTGATGTGTCTGCGGAGTGTGGACGCGTCGTCATGGTTGGTACAGTCAGACTTGTTTGCGACACGGTTCTGGACAGTGGAGACAGGAGCCGTGGTGAAGCGGATCGCGCGCGCGACTCGGAGGCGGTCTTTCGTAGAGTATGTGACTCAGTAGGGGCCGGTGGCTCTGCTATCGGAAGTGGCTTGGAGAATGCCTTCTCTTGTGCCTTCAACCAATCCGGGGTTGCGCATGCTGATATCGCTGATGCATCGTAATTCAGGCTGGAAGGATCCGCTTCGCCCGTGGTGAGTAGTTTCTCGATTGCTTCACGCAGGTCCTGCGGGTCGACGTTATCAGAAGCGCGCGTAACCGCCCACTGCGGGTGGTTGACCTTTATGGATAGCTGCCTTGAACGGGAACCTTCGGACGATACGGTGGAGGTGTCTGAGAGACCAGGTGGGTCGCCATGGGAGTGACTTCCGTTATCCGTACGGCACTCCTCTGACACCGGTTGCACCTGAAATACCTGAGAGGACTTCGTCGCTAGTGGGCGGATACATGGCCACGAAAGTGACTCTTGCATGAGGTCGTGGATGTCCGGTTCTGTTGACAGTGTGTCCAACTCCTCCAACTTCTTCGCTACCCCCGGGTTCTGCGTACATCGCAGCTTGGAGAGGTACGCGCTGCATGCTTGTGTGTTGGAGAGTGGATGGCCGTAGTCGATCAGATCTTCTAGTACCGTCGTGAATTCAGTGTTGAAGTCCTGGATGCTTGCGTACTGGTCGATGTGCAGGTTCAGGAAGTGGCAGAATGCGTGGTGGTATCCAGAAAAGCTGAAGACACCGAAATTATCGTCCAATGCTTGCAGCATTTCTTGCGAAGTGTGGTTGATGGGAGGTAGGGGTGGCCCGACTTCGAAGACTTCGTGCATCACTTCTTCTGCCACGGAAAGAAACATGTCCAGCTTGACCTCGCGATCTTGTCGAACCCATGCTCTTCGCTCCTCGAGCAGGCTCGGCTCTACGTCTTTCGTTTCCTCTGAGGAGATGGCTGGAACTGGCCGTGCCTTTGGCATAGGCATGGGTAGAGCGCCATTGCAGTATTTCCAAGTATCTTTCGATTCCAGCGCGAACTGGAGACTGCGTCGCCAGCGAGAGTACTCCGGCCCGCTGGAGTCTAGTTTTAGGATGGGGACGCCGGGTAGGCGTGGAGAGGTTTGTGGCTGCATCAGTCCTGGTTTCGCAGGCGTAACTGCACTTCTGAACGGTGCAGTTGATGGAAGGAGCTCGTAGGAGAATAATCACCGAGGAGACCAAGCACATTTGAACATCACCGCATAACACCACAGCCCATCAGCATCGTCTCACCAGAATATGGCCGCATGCACATCAGCCCTGGCACCCTAGCTCTTTGTTCCAAGGCCGGACTTCCACAAAGGCGAGCCAACGTAGCTTGAAGCATACGGCCATGCACAACCACCATGATCCCAGATTAGGTGTCGCACGCACCAGGTCCCCTTACCTACACAACCATTGAATTGGGTTTGGGCCGTTTTCATCGAGTACCAAGACTGACGTGTAGCAGACTTCTGGCCGTTGACCGTACTCCGCGTCGGGTAGTAATGGGTGCGCAAGCGAATCAAAGCTATGGAACGCGTGGCGGTATGAGGATTATTGGTCGTCGGAATCCGGTGGCTGCGGGGAGTTTCTCTGTTCCCGCCTCATCTTCATGTCCGAAACGCAACGTTGCGGCTCTTCGCGGGATCAGGCGAACAATCGAAACTTTTTGACATCGGGCCTTTTGCCGCCCATGACGATGCCAACGTCAACTATGATGACTTGGGGTCTTGGACGGAGCAAGATTGGGTTTTCAGTCTGCGAAGAACAGTAAGCGGGCGGGGTCGTTCGGAATCATGACTGCCTGGGTGGAGGTGTGGAGGCACCAGGCTTCTGGGTTCCACCCCACCACATCTACGCATAGTCCGGAACTGTGAATAACTGGTATATAAAATATTTGAATCCACCGCCTTTCATCGAAGCAGCAATAGCAGCAAAAACGGGGGCGTTGTGGCGGAGTGGTTATCGCGCAAGACTAGAAATCTTGTTCCTTCGGGAGCGTCAGTTCGAATCTGGCCAACGTCGATCTTTTTGCGCATGGAGGGTTGCAGGTCTTTGACTGAAGGTCTAATTTTTGCGCTTTCCAACAACATTGTTTTGACTGCCAAGCCCATCTTGGCGTATATACCCTCCCCAATCTGGACAGCTGCTATCTAACATCCCATGCCACCGCGAGCCTTTCCCTTCCCCTTCCGAGTGGGCACCGATATCTGCAATGTCCCAAGAGTGCTATCCATCATCACGCCCCGTACCGGCAGCGAAGGCGAGCCTCTGCGACCTCTGCGTCACTACCTGAAGCGAGTGTTTACCGAGCACGAGCGTCAGTATTTCTGGAATCGCTTTGGGCCCGAAGAATCCGTATTGGACAAGGCAGATGTAATCTCCAAATTTCTCGCTGGCAGGTGAGTATTCGCATCAGCTTAATCTCCCAACCAGGAGCTTACGTGATACAAGGTTCGCAGCGAAAGAAGCCTGCCGCAAAGCAATTCAACACCTCGACATTGTTCAAAGAGGGTTCAAGCATATCATGATTCTCCCTGTTACCGCGGTCGATCGCAGTAAGCACCAATCGCTTCGGCCCCAGGGCTTGATCTTAGATATGGTCTACGAGGATTTCGAGCCAACCTGGGTGAAGCCTGACGGCAAAATTGGACTGATCGATATGAGCGAGATCGATGGGCAGCTGTGCGAGATTAGTATCAGCCATGATGGAGACTATGCGACTGCTGTGGCTATAGTGCCGATGGCGGAGAAGTGGGAACATTGATTCGGATGGTTCTGGTGCGGATTTTCTCGTTTGTCATGTTTTGCTGAACCAATCCATGGATGCTGGTACCAAAGATCTTTGTCAATCATGAAATCTCCATCCCCAATTCGACATAACCACCACCATCACATGTGGCTTTATCCATTCTGTTGCTGCCCAGAAAATGCGTCTAGCTGCTTACATGAACGAACTCCCGTAGCGACTTGAACTACACATTACATCACAACATGACAACCACATATACAAGGTCTACGTTTGGCAAGTCCAACATGTTCGCGCCCGCGCTGCCATCAGCATGGCAGCGTATACAGCAGGATCCAATACTCTTCATCGCACAGTGGTTATATGCTCACCGACCGCTTTCGACAATATCACAGCCCGCGTCCACAACATCGAAGTCCGCTTCTACGATCCGTGTTAGGGTTATCTGCATCTCCGATACGCACAATGAGCAGCCGCATGTACCGAACGGCGACATCTTGATCCACGCCGGCGATCTGACAGTCAACGGCACATTTGAAGAGCTGCAGTTACAGCTCGACTGGTTGAACAGTCTGCCACACCAACACAAGATCGTCATAGCAGGGAATCACGATTTGCTTCTCGATCAGTCCTTCTTTCGCCGCAACCCACGACTTGCAAGCCGAGAGAATGATGAACGCAGACTGCGAGATCTCAAATGGGGAAGTGTAGTATACCTCGAGAACGAGCTGAGGGTGCTCAACGTTCGGGACAGGGACGTCAAGGTCTATGGAAGTCCCATGACGCCGAAATACGGCAACTGGGCGTTCCAATACCAAGCAAAAGACATATGGTCAAACACTGTCCCGGAGGCGACGGACATACTCGTCACGCATGGCCCTGCCAAAGGCCACCTCGACTCATCCGCGAACCCATCTTACTTGCAGGGCTGTGCTCATCTTCAGCGGGAACTTTGGCGTGTGAAGCCGCGACTCCATGTCTGCGGGCATATTCACTCAGGAAGGGGCGTCGAGTGTAGTGACTGGGGATGGCTACAGTGGGACTATGACGCTGTATGTTGTGGCGAAGAAGGACGCGTCGTCGTCCTGAGGATGCTGGCTTGCTGGGTCTGGCTGTGGGTACTCTGCATGTTGGGAAGAGCAGCGAATGGACGGACTATGACGAGTGTTAATGCAGCAGTTGTTGGTGAAGGGCTCGCAGAAGGCGAGCAAACTCTTCTCGTAGATCTTCGGTAACTTGCAACGATTGCCACGTCATGAGACACCTCTCCTCGTTGTACACGTAACATGTACTGTTTGTATGCCTCAACACGATGTCAAGGTTTACGTGCTGTCTCTTCATCCCCAGTGGCACTCCACAAACAGCAGACAGAGACACATATCGTGCAAACCATATACAGAAGTCCAATGGGTGGCTTCTGGAAGCCGGTAATGCCCAGGTTACAAGAGTGCTTGGCCACCAAAGTGGAGATAGAGATTTTAGGTTCATGCGTGCCGTCATGCCCCACCGATCCTCGTGGAAGCGACACAGAACGCGTTTCGGGAGACAAGATCCATAAACAACGACCCTGCGAGAGGCTGCGGCATGTGGATCTGACAGGAAACAACAGTGGAAGCCGAGCATAAGGTGAAATGCAGCCTCAACCTTGTGTACTCCGGAGCAGTTGTAGCCTGCAAACAGTATACAGTAGGACCAGAAATATAGCATGAAAATGACGATCGCAACCGTGCCCAATGCAGAGGCGGGGCCTGGGGCTATATGTTCAGATCGTTAAGCAATGTTCTTCTTCTAGTCGGCAGGAATGGTTTCGAAACGTTCAAGCGCATGCCGGCAAGGGTGGTCTCACGGTGTTGGAATGTCACCCAGCACAGCACAGCACAGCACAGCAAAGCGCGTGCATGCTGTTCAGATCTAAAAGATCAGCCGTCGACATGTTTAACCGTGGCGGCGGAAGTCTCCTTGCGATGCTTTGAATTACGGGTATGTTGGTCTCGACCAAATGGTAAAGCCAAGCGACAGAAAGGGGAATCCCAGGAAACGAGGAGACAGCCCGATGCCGCGGTGCATTGGCTGGACCATTGGATCGGCTCAGACCTGTGGGTTGGATTCACACCTTCCTCGTACAGTGCTACGCAGGAGCTTGAAACGAGTCACAGTACCCGATGACCCGATGACAAGGCGAGCCTCGGCACCCGCCAGGTGGAATGTTTGTAGAACGTCGACAGACAACCAAATATAGCTGTGGCAGGCGTTCATAGTCGCAGACCGAGAGACATGAAACGTTAGAGCACGGAATGCGCATCTGAGGCGCTGATGGAATGGCGTCAGTCAAGGCCATGCTGACTTGAGAGATGAAGGACAGTCCAGTCAGAAAGTACCGGTACCAGCAGCCGATGTCGAGGCTGCAGTCCAAGTGAAGGCTAGCCACGGACAGGGGCTACCTCGAACCTAGGGCGCTGTAAAGTTCATGTCGTTCGCTGGGGCGTAGGCGTGGAGGCGGCGAGCAGAAGTCGAAACCAGCCGTCTGCCCTAGGACGAACTTTGGCGAGTCGTCGAGAGGACAGTCCTGGACGATGCAGGCAAAGCGCACATGGCTGTCAAAAAACGATAGCGTGGTACGGTAGTAGTTGGTCGCACTTCGGAATGACTGTGGACACAGGCCGGCAAAATGGCTTGCTCAGCGAAGGAATTGGGTGGCTGCAGGCGATACGCAGCCCTGCAGTTTCCTACAGTCAGCCGGTAGAGACGTTGGAATAACAGTGTGCAGGGCCCAGGAAGGTGCCGCGATATTGCTTCTGAGCGAACAATCAAAGCATGTCCACGGGGTTGGGTGCAGCATGAGGCGGCGTGGTGAGCGATCATCATCATTCGCATGCGAGCGGGACCCGTGTCATGCCGAAATGAAGGGCTCGGCAAGGGCAAGGGCAAGGGCTGCGCCTTCTCTTATTGGCCGCCTGATGGCCGTTCCTTCCTCAGCAGCGTGCGCATCGAACGGTGGGGAGCAAGGCGCTGGAGATGGACATCAACACTGCGCAGGCGGCCGCCTCCAAATTCCTCGAAATTGAGGGTTCAGTCGCCGTGTCGTAGGCAAGGGATACTCCATGTCTTGGGCTATACGGTAGCACAGCCGGGGTATATATGTATTACCCTTGGCTAGTGCGGTTTGAGCTCACAGCCGTCTGCACGACCAGGGCCTCGCGGCCAGATGCAAATTAATCCACAGGCGCACCGTGGCGGCATGCGCAATCTGCTGCTGATGGAGACACAATGTCCGCTTCGCCTTTTCGTCGTCGCAGCCTCTGAAGTCTTGCTGTCTCCTGTCACATAACCTTCCCATCGTATCCACCCGCGACGTCAATAGCGAACTACTCCCCTCTGCAGCAAGCGCCGTTCTATTTTGCGACTATCGAATGCAGAGGCCCGCCGCGCGAAACCCTGGCTTTCCCCGTCCTGGACACTGGCACTAGTGGTGGGCAGTTGGTTCTCCTGCAGGGAGCACACGTTGGCGACTCGCAGCCCACGGCGCTTTCCCTCTTCCGCCCCTCGCCCCTGCCTGCCGCCGTTTTGGCCTGGACACCTGGGCGACTGCTGCTGCTGACCGGCGCCCTGTCTTCTCTTCTTCTTCACTACCCGTCGCCCACGCCCCAAGCCGACCTCTTCTCCACCACCCGCCGACAACCCCCAAACGGGCGCATTCATATATCGACTCTGCGCATCTCCCGCCCGTGGCTCCCCGTGGCTCTCTCCTCCGACCGTCAAGCACCGCTCTCCACGTCGCCCAGGCCTCACGCTCCCTTGCACGATTCTCCGAATCACGACCACTCCTTCAAAAGCAATTCCGCTCCGTCGCCGCAATTACTAGTAATCTGACCGTTGCCTATCAACGTCGTCGCCGCTCGTTTTAGCACCGCACCGTCCACGAAAACGCGTCCCAGCCCCGCTGACCACTTACGACACGCACGGCCACCCGCTGCTCAGGAACAAAGAAAACGCAATCGCTGCGAATCGTGCTTAGAGTGCCTCGACCACTCCTACGATTCTTTGTCGCCTGCCTGCCCGCTCGCTGTCATCCACGTGCGTACCAGTCTCTGATCGGCCCTGGTTCGGTACCGCGTGCTTCTAGACCCACGCGACGACTATTCTCCGGTACCTGTCAGTGTCAAACATGACAGCATAGTCCCGCGACCAACCCGAGAACATCGCGACGACGCAGTAATCGCTTCGCCTGTGCAACCATCTAATCCTAGCTGCATCGACAGTCTAGTGAGTCACCCAGTTCAGCGACGCGCTTTCTCCATGGAGACTAACATGCGACAGGTCCATTCTTTACCATCATTGACACTCGTCAAGTACACTCGTTTACCATAGCCCTGACAGTATGTTGTGCTACTGACACTGCAAACGCCATGGCTAATAACAGCAGGCTTCCACGTACATTGCCTTCGAGACTCTCGAGATATCTAATTCTACATAACAAGGCATCATAATCGTAACAATGCCTCGCTCAACGACAGTATGGGCAGCCGCCCTGGTTCTGGCCAGTCTCTCTGGCTCTGGCCCGCTCCTTACGACAGCAGAGGCCATGCCTGCACCGGGACCACAACAAACCCAAGGCCGTCCCCGATACTACTTCGCTAGGCACGTAAAGCGACAAATCGTTACCAATGCGACGACCCCTGCGGCTACCCCAGAGCCATCAACCAGCTACTCGTCCAGCAGCACTACTGAGCAACTCTCGTCCCGCCAGATGGACTTCCCGTCCTTCATTGAATCGCTGTTCCGCGGTAGTTCCGATTCATCGGCTCTTGCCTCATCCTCAGATGTGCTTGTCAGCACCAGCGACGTAGACACCACTGGCACCTTGTCCTCCGCTTTGGCAGAGAGCTCCTCTACCGCACCTCTCTCAGAAAGCAGTGTCTTTTCACCGCCACCACCTGCGGCATCGAGCTCTGCAGTCGAATCGTCGAGCCCCATCGTTAGCTCATCAAGCCAAATTCAGGAATCAGTCACTGAGCCAT